CATTGGAAGAGTTCCCGAGCGGGAATGATTCCGAAAATATCCCATCTCCGGCAATGATCAACGAATCGCCAGAATGTACCAGTTGTGATAAAGCAACAAATATTTGTGAGGCGGTAAGTTGTTTTATTATCTCTTTTTATTTCTTCAAAGACTTCATTTAATCCTATCATTAAGTCATGCATTAATTACTGGCCATGCTAAGCCTTATACAAATGGACAAAAATGCACATCGAATGTAATTGACGCATGAAAAAGATATACATGAATTGATATACTCGAATTAGCATAATTAATGATACGTGAACTGATCGAATTAATATAATTAATAATATCGAACTTTTATCAAATAATGTCAAACTTTTATCAAGGATTTATCAAACTGACATAATTAGTAACTTATTTGTTATTGTCATTTCTATTGACTTAATTAATATTTTATCTATCTAAATTTGTACAAATTTTTTTTGGACATTTTATTAATAAATTTTGGAAAAGATGTTATTTCTTCAAGCTCATATTGCTCTATTTGAAGTGCTCTATTCTTAAACAGTGAATCATAAACAGCATCGAATAAGAAAGCATATCAGAACGTTTCCCTCAATTTCGGTACTATCTCCAATTTTTTCTGCTTAACATCTCTATAAAAGAAGCACCGATACAACGAGATGCAAATGATGCTTTCCGTTGAGTTGCACCATTCATCGATGGTTAATGGCGAAAAACAGGAAATCAGTATGAACCGGAACCTTAACCGAAAGAATGGAAACGAACAAATTCCGTTTTTTTTTTTCAATTTTTGGGGACAATACATATGAAATACTAATTCGATGTCCTTAAAAATAAATTTATTTGAAATAAAAATTCATGTTTTCCTTTAAAGTTTTATCCTCTCTTCTCTTTTTTCTCTTTTATCTCTTCTAAACAATCTTTAAAAGAGATAGATTATCACAAAATTATCACGAAATTTTCATCAAGGTAATTTTGACTATTAATTTGATTTCCATTCCAACAATAATTTCATCTTATTTTCAATTCTAAAAGTCAGAAACTTTTCAATTTATTTCCAATTTGCATTTGGAAACTCCATAAATTCCTTCTTCTTTTTGGTAATAGAACGGAAATGAATGATCATTTAGTTAAATTCATACAATTCCAAATTTTATTACAAATCTCCTCTTCTGATCGTTGTCCTTCTTGTTGCATTAATTTGAAACAAGATATGATTTCAGATTGGAAATAATCAGCGCATAATGTAAATAATTTTTGTTTGTTAAGCAAATATATAATATTTTGTTTTTGTCATGAAATATTGCGCCATTCCCGGAACTGTTATTATCTTTCCGGATTTCCTATGATAATTTCTTGTTAAATGTAAAGAAAGTTTTATGTCAATAATAGTTGACAAAAGTAAAATTCATCATTCTGCATTAAATTAAAATCTTTATTTTCCTTTCATCATTTTTATTCACTGCTTCTTTCATTCTCTCAATTTCTTCTTCCTCTTTCATTCCCCTAAAATTCGTAAAAAATATTTAATTTAATTAACTCTAACAATCTAACTAATTATTCAATGAAGACAATTCGCATCATTCCCTTACGATTAGTGCATTCTATTTATTCCGTTCATCATATCTTCCTATCACATTCCGCTTATCATATCTTTTCACTTATCATATCTTCCTATCACATATTCCTCTCCTCTAACCTTTATAGCATTTTCCATTATAGCTTATTTGGGAGAGAATTCTGGAAGAAAAATTTTCTCTTTTACATTATGATTTTATTATTTCCATTTTTGTACAATTCCAGCAATGCCTAATTTCCGGATGTCAAAGTATAATTTTCAATTTTCATCGTATGATTTCATCTGAAATGTCTAATTTTCGAAACAGGAAAGTAATATCTTGTAGTATCAGGAATCAGTCCTATGGATCAACCGTATCAATAAAACTTTTGTCATTTTTGTTTTTGCTACGACAGATATTTATTTCGGGCTGTTACAAAAGGTCATATATTTTTTCTGTTCGTCTGTTTTCTTTTAATAATTGTAATGTTTTTTTTTTACAATTTTTCTATTCTTTTCAATTATTTGAATATATTTATTGACTTTTATTAATTTGAAATTTCTTCATTTTTGTGTGATGAAAAGACATTTCACAGTTAATTACGATGTAAATATAATTTATTTATGTCTTGAAATAATAATTGATGGATTGGATTTTATGTTTTTATGATGTAGAATGGCAATGATGATAAATGACCAATGGTATATCCGTAGGTTATTATGCTAAAATGCACCTTAGAATTGTCAGGATGTTGAAGATAATTAATTTTACTCAAAATCTATGGTTAATTGATTTGATCTATTTTTTAGTATTGATCTTTTTTTCAAGTTTTTACATATAATTAACAGAAATAAGTTTTGAAGGATTTTGTTCAAAACGAAGAATCGTTGGCTGATCGGGAGTTCAACATGGTTGAATCAGTTGAAGAGATGTCACAATCGTCTTCCACACGACATGTAATGCTAAACGGTGTACTGCAACAACATATCATAAACTCTCATGGTCATTTTATTGATTTGCTCGGTGCAATATCGATGAATGACAGACTGTCAATTCCAACTAACGATCAAACTGTGAGTTCATTGAAGCGAATAATCATTTTAGAAGTGAACTGTAATAAAGTAAGCAAGGTATAAATGAACTATAATAAAGTAAGCAAGATATGACTGAAATATTAAAGTAAGCAAAGTATGAGTGAACTGTAATAAAATAAATAAGATACGAGTGAATTGTAATAAAGGAAGATATTTTATTCTAATATCTTTTATTATTAGCTACTCAATTTATGAGTGCTAAATTGGTCAGAGGTCATCAACAACAATGAATGTTAACGTTGTCAGTTTAATTGAGCAAATTATGATTGCTTCACAAATATGTATTGGAGAGTTGTAAAAAAATGGCATGGCTTATGTAAATATTTCACGTAAACTAATATAATAAGTGACCTACTTATATATTTGTACATGTTTTGCAGATCAGAAATACTGTAATGTAACATATAAAACATTTTTTTTCAGCTGAAAAGACTTTTGGCAAAGTTAACAGCTGACGATGTTTTGGATGAAGAATTCGCAATGATTCCGAATCGACGTATGTCTGCTGGTGTATCAACGAGTCAGAAACCTGAAAATATGGTACGGTTTTTCGATTGATGATAGTAAATGTGGGAAGATTTTCTCAATGTGTCCTTAATCTGTCTGAAGCAATTCATTTGACCATTTAAATTCTGCCTTAAGCAGATAATCTTTAAAAGAATTCTAACAGATGGCATACCATAAGATTATTTCTACCTTCATGGGCAAAGAAAAAATTAGAAGTTTTGAATTATTTCAAGTTCGTACTTGGTAAGTTTTTAAGAAATTGCTGAATTTCCAGAAGCGAAACCGTACACGATCAATAGTGCCGTACGAAGACACACGAATTATGTTACATTCAAAGCAATCCAATCCAACCGGATATATTAATGCTTCAAACATTCAAGTAATTCAGCTTCAGGAAATTTATAAATTTACAAAAACTTATTCCTACTAAATTTTCCTGTCACATACAGATTCCAATTGGCAATCGAATTTTGAGATATATATTGGCACAGGCTCCACTTCCGGATACAATCGAAGATTTCTGGCAGATGATTTGGGAATCTGGCTCACAGCTTATCGTTATGCTTTACAATGCTCAAGTAAGGAAGGATTTTTCTGATTCTGCTAACCATTAATCATCTGAATAAGAAATCTGACGCCATCGATTGCGAGCAATAAACCATCGATATAAAATTATTTGTAAACAATTCCCAAAAAAGATAGCTTAGTATTTCAGACAGAAAGAAATTATGAAATCGAATTTTTACATTTCAAACTTACCTGTATAACTAACTATCAATGAATGATTTAAATAAGTGAGATTTAAAGGAGTTACAGACATAAAGTATTAAATAACGCGTATATAACAGAGGGATTAACCTATGTGAGATGAAGTAAAATAAAATAAGTAATTTGATAAGCCAAGCAACAACAAGAAACATTTGTCTATTTGTTTTTCAATTGTAAAAAAATGTGCTTTTAGGATTTTAAAAATACTACAACACCCATTTATTGGCCAACAAAAGTAATGGACAAGCAAAGATTATCAGAGCATTCATTGACATTACTTTCGAGTACGTCAAGTAAACATCAGATAACAATGATGTTTCAATTGAAGCAGAATTCGAGTGGTGAACTACGAACTATTTATCATCTCAGGCTGTTGGACTGGGAAAGCGGTGGGATACCGCCCAGTGAAGAGTCGTTTCTCGGTTAGTTTACTCTTCTTCACGGAAAGTACTGTTATTCTTGCATTTCACTGTTTCCGGAAAGCTTCCGATAGATGACTGGTAATAATTGTTTGGGACATATATATACATAGTTATCGATTTCCAAACAATAGTTCTCATTCGGCACAATATAATGTATTTCCTAGGTTTTATGGACGCAGTCAGTAGTGTTCGACGACATCTGGAAAATGAGCAGTTGGGGGAGATAAACTCCGGAGCAGTATCGGAATCCAGAAAAAATCGAAATAATTATCACGTAAGATTATCAAGTTTTTTTTTCATGATTTCTCAGACATGGCAATCATTTCAGGAAAATATTTTGCAGTTAAATTTAACGGATCGAAATAGAACACCACAACTGACTGATTTCGGTCATTACAAATGGTGTAGAAAAGGATTGCACATGGTTAATTATGCATTGCATTATTCACCTCCCAGGTAACCTCTCATGCTATAACTTAATCAAAAGGTCAAGTAATAGCAGAAAATCAAAATAAACATAATCATAAAATCCACAAATCAAAATAGGCATAGCTATAAAATAAACGTCATCGAAACTAAATTATAAATTTGCCTATTTCTAAAAAATAAATAGCCTCAAGGTTAGATAACTCAAAACGAATAACCATAGACAACAAAGAACCATCAAAACGAACTCAGTTGTTCAAAATAATAAATATCAATAATGTTTCTTTTACTTGATGTTGATTTGTTTATTTGTGTTATTTATTCGAAAATTAGAAGTTAAATTGCACCTCAGATATTCCTGTTAGGTATGCTGGAAACGAGCTCAAATATTCCTTCGGGTATGGCTTAAAATGAGCCTCAAATACTCCGGTTAGGATGGCTGAAAATGGGCCTCAAATATTCCTATTAGGTATGGTTAAAAATGACCTAACGTGAAAAATTATAGTCATTCGGGTGTTTCATCGGCGGAATTTCCATCTACCGGAAAAAATAGAGAAATGTCAGATGTGATTGCACCGCCAACCGCAATACACTGTCTAACAGGTGCTCACGAATCCGGCGTTTACCTGCTTG